GTGGTTTGGAGCCATGTACACTGGCGGGGAGCATGTGCCATTATGGCTGCTGCTTTGATGCCATGGCACTCAGCGAGCCACAGAATAATGAAAGCTGGGAGAAGGTCCTGCTCCTGACTCACTTCTCGGGACTGTTATGCCTGAAGCCCCGCCTCAGTCACTGCTTGAGGACAAAGGCTCTCTCTCTCTTCCCTGGATGGATGGACACACAGGATGTAGAGTATGCATTTGCTGCAGCATTATTCAGCTGGAAGCAGGAACAGAGTGCTGGTGTGAGCTTCCACTCGGATGCACCTTCACCGCATGCTAAGGGAAAGACACCAAACACAAAAGGCCGCAGATTGTATGGTTCTGTGTCTATGAGGTGCTCAGGACAGACAAGTGGCAGCCAGGGGCTGGAGGAGGAGACGGGGTGACTGCCCAGGGGCTGCTCTATGGTTAAAAAATAGGCTTCTGTTATAGAAAGTTCAACTGTGTGACCTTGAGCAGACTGCTGATCTCTCTCTCTCCACTTACTCTCCTGCAGGATGGGGGTAACGGCTGTGGTGAGCACTGAATGGGATGCCAGTTTGGATCTGGAGTGTCTCTTGAAGGCCTGTGTCACAGGCTCAGTCCCAGCATGGGGCTGTTGGGAGGTGGGGGGACCCTTGGGAGGTGACACTCCGAGCAAAGTGCTTAGGTTACTGGGGGGGCCCTGGAGGGAGACTGTGGGACTCTGGGCCCTTCCTCGTCTACTTTCCTGCTTCCTGGCTAGGACGTGAATGGTTTTGCTAGGGCCCCCATGCCCACCATAATGTGCTGCCACCCACAGCCAAAGCAATGAGGTCAATTGACCATTGACTGGAACTGCCAAAACTGTGAGCCAGAATAAACCTTCCCTCTTTATACACTGATTCGCTCAGGTATTTTGCTACAGTGACAGCTAACTAACACATGGGGCGATGTATGTAAAGTGTTAGCACATTGCCTATTTGATAAACGTGAGCTACTATTAGTCCTTAGCAGTGCTTTTCAGGAATTCCTTCCCGAGTGCAGTTTTTCATAAGAGACCTGGACGAGCTTCCAGAATCAGAGTCACCGTGAGACACAGGATACTCGGCACGCTGCCCAGGCCTCCTTTCAGGGGCGTGGGGTGGGGAAGAGGAGAGAGCTTGATGTGGGTTTGAGGGGCGAAGGTTTATTCAAAGCTCGTGGGAAGAGATGAGGATCCAGTTGGGAAACAGTTACCACTTTACTTCTTTGTTCGTTTGTTTTTGTTTTTGTTTGTTTGTTTTGGTACCGGGGATGGAACTCAGGTCCTTGCGCTTGCGAGGCAGGCGGTGGAACCGCTGAGCTAAATCCCGGCCACCACTTTACTTCTTGATGGGAAGGACTCAATTCCAAAGCCCCCACCCCGAGCCAGACCTTGTCAGACTCTTTATTCTGAAACAGATGACAGGATAGATGTCAGGGCAACCAGTGAGAGGGGGAGGGTGGCCTTCGAGGCCCTGCCAGTGTGATGTCACCACAGGAGGCAGCTGAAGGCCAGTGTTTAATTATCCTGGTGGCTTCTGCATCTGCATTTACACCCCCGGACCCCCGCCTACCCTCCTCAGCTTCCCTTCTCCTTCAGATGTGAAGTAAGATGAACCAAGTGACTTATGGTAGATACACATTCGTCTTTTTATTAAGGTGTCAAAACATAAACCTGGATACACAAAACAACTAACTTAAATGCATTTGTTAAAAGAACTCATGGTCACACTAACCACACAGTGCAATTCCCAGGTCAGGTGTCCTCGCCATCGCCAATTCTCCCTTCCCCTAATCCCCTGCTGTCC